GGCGGCCGGGGACCCCGTGCGGCGGGCGCCGCTGCTGCGTGCGGCCGGGGCACCGTCCCACTGCAGCTGGCGCAAGAGTGACCGCGCGGGTCGCCGTGCTGCAGACGGGGCCAGTGCTTTGCTGCAAGGGTCACCATCCTGCAGCCGCAGGCACTGTGCTATGGCAAGTGTCACCACGCGCTTGCAGGAGTCCCTGGGTGGTTGTAAGGGTCACCATGTGCTTGCAAGAGTCACCAAGCGCTTGGAAGAGTCACCGTGTGCTCAGAGGGGTCACCGTGCGCAGCCGGAGTCCCGCTGTTATTGCAATGGTCACCATGTGCTTGCAGGAGTCACCGTGTGTTTGCAAGGGTCACCGTGCTGCAGCCGGAGCCACTGCGCTCCTGCGAGGTCACCACGCTCTTGCAGGACCCTCACAAGGGTCCGGGTGCTGCAGCGGGTCCTTGGGCAGCACAAGGGCTGCGGTGCCTCTGTAGGCACCTTGCTGCTGCAAGGAGGCAGCTGAGCCAGATGGTGCAAGGAGCAGCACCCATGGGTGCTCCCTGGTCTCTGGGGCAGCCCCCTGTCCTGCCTCCTACCCCACAGCCGGGTGCATTCCCAGGGTCTGCGCTGCTGGGATGCTGCCGGGATGCTGCCGCCGCTTCCATGGACACGGATGCCATGACAACTCTGACGTCAGCCCTGTGCCCAGGACGGGCGCTGCGGGAAGAGGCGCAGGGAGGGATGCGCCTGGCGCCGCCGGCACCGGGGGGGCTCCGCGCCGCCGCTCCTGGCGCAGCCTTGGCAAAGGCGCAGGCTGCCCGCAGCTCGGCACACGGGCACTGCCACCAGCCCGGGCACGCAGCGCAGGGCGGCCCCGCGTGCAGGGGGACGTCCTGCAGGGCACCATCCTGCAAGGTTCTGCTATGCACGGCAAACCGGTGCGATCGTGCAAGGAGCCATTGTGCAGGTGAAAGACGCCACTGTGCAAAGCACCGCTGTGCAAGGTACTGTTGTGCATGGTACGTTTTCACAAAGAGTTGTGCAAGGTGACATCATGTAGGAGCAAGGCGCCGTCGTGCAAGGAGTAGTTGTGCAAAGTGACATCGTGTAGGTGCAAGGCACCACCATGCACGGTGCAAGGTGTCCCCCTGCAAGGTGCTATTGTGCAAGGTGACAGCATGCAAGGTGCTGATGCGCATGGTGTCGTGCTGCTGCAAGGTTGTGCAGGTGCAAGGAGCAGAGCCCTCTTCTCCAGACCACAGTCCCAGCTCCCTTGGGCCTCCTGCTGCCCACCAGGCCCCTCTTCCCAGCAGGGCGAGGAGGGACTTGTCTGTCACAGCCCATGACGGTGCCGTGCAGCGTTTTTCTCAAGTACAGGTGAGTCATCGTCTCTCCAGATCTATTTCTGACGCCTGCTGGAAAAGCAGGATTCAGCCTTTTGTGCCTCGGTGTCACCAGCTCGGCACAAATCGGTTCCCTATGTGCACAAGGAGCGGCTGGTGCCCCTGTGCCAAGAGCACCACAGCAGCCTCAGCGCCGAGCTGGTGTCCTTACTGCAGGGGGAGGTTCAGAGGGCAGCAGGAGCTTCAAAGTTGCTCCGTGAGGGTTCAGGGGGCTTCTGGCCTCCTTGGACCCCCTGTCTGCATTTAAAGCCCATCTGGGTGAGCACCGCGAGTGCCCAGGCTGGGACAGGCGCAAGCAGGGCAGCACCAAGCGCAACGAGAGCGAGAGCCAGGTCCAACCTTTGGGATACTATTATGGATCAAATTGCAGATATTTCAAGACAAATAAGGAGCTTATCCCCTTTGGAGCAGGACTGGGAGGCTCAGAGCGAGTTTCCCGCAGAAGTCCCAGCTTCCTAACTCGTCCTCTTCCCTCGAGCTTCATCTCTCCCCCTTCCCTGGTCATTTCCCATGGCACGGTGTGCTGGCTTTTGTGGCCTGCTACACTTGTGCTGCCGAAACAGAGTGGCCCTCATTTGTTTTGCTGCAAATAATTGAACAGATCTACACAGCCAGCCAATAACAGAAAAGCAGATTTGATCTTGCGCAGTTTTCCTCATCATTTTCCCCCATCAAACAGGGAAAGACAACAGGCTTCACAGATGGCAATTTGCAAAGCCTTTTTCTGGCTTTAATGAGCTTCGTCTGCATTTGCTTTTCCCACCGGGTTCCTGATTCCACGGGCAGACAAGTGCTCGGGATCCGTGCTCGGGTTGCACACGCGCTTCATTCAGGGTGCTGCAGACCAAAGGCCGTCTGGGAGGCACCGGCACTTCCTGCTCTCCACCTCCAGCAGACGGGCAAGAACCAGGGGCTTTTTAGCCCAGGGTGCGACGTGTCTGAGGAGAAAAGCTGAGTGGCTTTTGCTTCCTCAAAGCTGCATGTGCTCGACTCAGGGCTGCCTGTATGGGGCTGTGTGGAAGTGGGAGCAGTGCTGGTTTTATGGGCTAGGACCAAACACAGCTGTCTAGGGGATCTTACTGATCCCAAGCAAGTGCACAAGAGCCGGTAGAACAAAACGCATCAGATCTCCAAGCAGGTGGTCGAGACCTCCACATCCTGCGTGGCAGCTCCAGCACTGCCGCTCCCAGCTCGGGATGCACCCGGGGAAGCCCGGGATCAGCCGCAGGAGGCAACGCAGCCGCCCGCAGCGGGACTCGGAGGACTTTCCGAGGCAGGGGGAGCCGCCGGTGCTGCAAGTGAAACGGCCGGTCAGCCACGTCGACAGCTCCTACATCCTCAAACTGAAATGCTGATGTGAAACCGCCCTGCCCTCAGAAGGGTTTTGCCGGGTATTTATAGAGAAGCTGTTCCTGCCGAGCCCTCGCGGCAGCTTCAGCGGCAGGTTACGCTCCATCAACCGCAGCAGCGCCCTGCAAGACCCGACATCACCCATCACAGAGGTGGCAGGACAGGCTGCTTTGCGCCTCTTACCTGAGCAGGACACACACAGCAAGACTTTTGATCTAAGTTCATTTACCTGCTACTCTGAAATGCTTTGCTTGATGTTCATTAGAGTTTGGCTAATATTCTGCCAGCAGTTAGGCTCTAGGAAAACAGGAAAGTCAATGGAAGTAGCTTTGAGAGACGCTTAGAAGTTCCTGGTGTCCAGGAAGAGACAGTGTTGGCTTCCTGATTAATAACGCCTCAGCACGCTATCCCCAGGAAAGATGGAGAGCAGTAAGTAGCTAAGAGACCCCAAAATAACTGGAAAACCATTTATTAGGTGGTTACTCATCCACATCTGAAACACAGTCATTTCTCAGGTGAGATTTGGCTGTTACTCTGCCAGTACAAATACGAGAACAATGTGCCATGAGAAAACGCGGAAAACTTCCCTAACAAGAATTGCCAGGGGAAGATTTGGATAGCAGAGCTGAGCAGCATTTGTTTTGAACACGAGAGTCAATATCTCAGCACTCACATAAAAAAACAAATTGAACAAAACCCCCCAGAGGGTTTCAAAATGATTTCCAGTGATGTTCCTCATCGATAAACTTATTCTCAGCTTCCTAGAAAATACCATAGCACAAAAAAAAAAAAGTTGGGGGGTTTTTGCAAACTAGTCACCTAATCTGATTCAGATGGGCTTGAGCAGCACCAGGTGAACAAGTACAAACATCCCACAATGAGCTAGACAGAAGGGGAAGAAAATCCCTAGCTGTTTTCCAGGCAGGGAGACAGGCGACAACAGCGAGTTCTGGGGCAGGAAAGGCCCAGTGAGCATGGAGGGACATGCTGCGAATGAGAAGTGTTTTTCTGTCTAACCGGGCACACAAAACATTGAACAAGTCCTCAGGGCTCAAAGATAAACAGAGCTGGAGCAAAGGAGTGCCCTAGAGCCGAGAGATTTGGGTACAGAGACCAACCCGAGGCCTGGCTGCATTGGAGCGCGTTCAGATAACCTCCCTGGAAAAGGTTGTCACCAAACAGGAAACAAAAGCAAAAGCTGCCGAAACTGCTGTTTTTGTACCCAGTTTGCAGAAGGGTAGATGCGACTTCCTGTGGGCCTGGGAAGAGTGTGCGGCCAGCAACAAACTGAACGTGGAGCCTTTGAATCCCCCAAGGGCTGCAGTCCGGGGCCCTTCCCTCAGCACCTCGTGTAGGGCACTGTCCTTGATCCCATTTGAGCAACATGACATGAAACACGGTCACAATTTTTAGTCAGGAGAAGGGATCAAACTCCCTTACCCAAGTCATGATGAAAAACCGTGCTCGTTTCATGACTGTTTTGCACCTTTCCCACGTCTGCTTGGTGCAAGTGAGCATGCAAGTCTGTGCACGCATTGAAGAGGTTACTGGTGCACAATGGCTATGATGGAAAATCCTGAAAATTTCAAATACCACCTGGGAAAAAGGTTGGGAAAAACCCCTCCGAGTTGTGCCAGAATGGAGCAGCTCAGCTCCAGGCAGGGCAGGTACCTGGCTCTCCCTTGCTGCTGCCTCAGGTCACACGAGGAACCAGAACTATGTTGTGGCTGCACAAGCTTTAACCAGAGCAGTCTCTGCCATCAAGAGGACACTCAAAGAGTGGCCACAACTAAGTGGTTTTTGAACAGCAGGTCGTCCAAGGGCACAGAGAGACTTTTGCTGCTGCTGCCTGGACCTCGGCCGTGACAGCCTCCGCGCTCCGGCCTCCCCAGCCCTAGAAGGGCTCACGTGGCAAAGCAAGCAATCACACACAGGAGGTGCTCTGCACGAGAAAGTGACTCCTGTCATGTAAAACTCATTCACTTTTCCCAGTCTGTTAACTGCTCAGGAAGAGAAGCCAGGATTTCTCCATACACAAGCAGCTAAAGCCTACAAGTCAGGTAGGAAGCACATGGAAAACAACATTTGGACAGAATTTTTTTATACTCCCAAGTACAGATTTTAGCTTTAAGTGGAGAAAAACACACCCCTTGTTTAGGCAATGATAGACGAGATGTTGCACATGGTAGATTATAACCAAACTCAGTCTTTTTTCAAAATACTGACTTGAAACTGTAAGTCAAAGTCTCTTCCCACAACGCGCTGCAAAGGGACTAGGCCAAGGTGAAACCTTTGCTGTCTGCTGCAGTTTGCAAAATGCAGAAAAAGGAAATGAGAAAATCAACTAGTTAACTGTATTCTTTGTTGCCCTCTGCTGTTTGCTTGGTTAAGATGCAAAGATCTGCAGGGCTCACGCAGATCTCCACGGCACAGTGCAGCAATGGCCAAGTGGAGCCCAGCAGCAGGACAGTGCGAGGTGTCTGTGAGGGCAAACAGGACCAGGCTGCAGCTCTCACAACGTGAGTGCTCCATGGAAAAGATGCAGCCGGGAGCCTCCCAGCACACAGGAACAGAGGGTACCTTTCAGCAGGAGCAACACAGCAAGGTTGGGGAGAAAGGAGCAGAGGGATTCAGGTCCCTTCAGGATTACGGAATAGAACCATTACGGTGGGAAAAGCCCGTCAAGGTCCAGCCATAACATACTGACCTCCTTCCCCCCCAACAGCCTCCTGGTTGTCTCTTAGCTGTGATTTCGCTTTGCACCCTTTACCTCACTTCTCTTAGTCTAGGTTATCAAGGGGTGACTTCAGCAGCATCAGTTCCTGCCTGCACAAAATACTGAGCAGGTCCTCTCCGCTGCTGCAGGGAAGTGGCCTGAAAACACATTCCAAAAATGGAAAAGCAAAAGGAAAAAACACAGTGCCCATAGGAGGATAGAAGAGGAAGTTATCAAACTCCACGCTGCAGCCCAGGACAAAGTCACGGCCGATCGCAGAGGATGGGGACTGTAAAACCTCTGCAGAGTAAATACCATTCGCTGCCTGTAGCAACACACACCTGCAAGCAAAGCCAGTGCTGGAAATCTGACTGTACAGCCCCCACATAGTGCAAAGGAACAGCTAATCCCTGGGAAAACGTTGAAAGCATCGCCGGGCGAGGAACATGTGAACCCTGTTAAAATATCTCACCAGTCCCCTATTTCCCCCAGCTACAGGCAAGGATCTGGTCTACAAAAATCTGCATTTTTTGAAGAAAACGACATTGGTTCAGCAGCTCAACAGGAAAGGAGCAGCTCAGATGCAGCCTCTGCGATCGACACCAACACAGAAACACAACTGATGAGGCTCCGGCAGGGAGGGCCCTTCGTACGGCCCAGTGCAGCCAGGGAGCCAGGAACACACTCGGGTGCTTTATTATTTTTACATCTACAGGAAATATAAGCAGAATACATACATTTTTAAAATTAGATTTAATCAAGTGCTTTAGAAGACAATTCACATTTTTCCTTCTTCTTTGTAAACAAATCTTTTTAAAAATCATACACAGGATTAAACCTTTAGGTGTAGTGCAAGCAGCAACAAGATTCGCCTGCCCCTGCAGTCCACAGAGGACAGGCTGTGCCCGAGGAACATACGGCAAGTCAAAGCTCTGCTGGGAGCCATCAACAGCAAAGAACAGAAACAATTTGCCTGATTTTTTCCCCCTTTTCTGCATTAAGATATGGCCAGATGCACTAATAGGGTGGAGTGTCACCCCTCCTCAGCTGCCTGTCACTGCTGCGTGCCAGCAGGGTCACGAGCCAAACCGCGCGTGGGCACCAAGCCCTGCATGTCGGTGACCGGGCTCCTCTTCAGCGCTCGGGGAGACACGAGGTGTTTTCACAACCTCCCGATTTACACGCAGGCGGTTTAGGAGGAAATTGCACCGTCTCCACGACAATGAAACTGTCACACAGTCAAAAAATTAAAGAGCAGTAAATTCCTGTGGTAGCCCTGCAAGTCCAGAAGAAACCGTCTCCCCACAGCTGACAGGGCTCTCCTGACAAAAGGGGCTAAATACGACTGTAAGGACTTGGAAAGTGGAACTGCAGCCTTTGTGCTGGTCCTCTCCATCCCAGTGGGTTCCAACAGACTTAACTTCGGAGATTTGAGTTTATTATTAAAAAGTAAAAACTACAGACTGGAATTTATTTCTCCTAAGAAACTCAACACAGCAGGAAAGTTCTTAGAGCACTTTTAATGACTAACGATGTCCTGAAGCTGCAGGCTGGATTGCATACATTACAAGATAACTATCTTCAGTTTGGTTAGTTTTGTAGTTAGGAATGTTATTACAGAAAGCCTACAATAATATGCAATCACTTGCACGTAACGTATCTATAAAATCTGTCTAAAGCTGTTTTATCAGGTCTAACTTGAAAGGACTTGAATATGCTATAAACCAGATGAACATATTTCCAAAGCTCTGATTGCTTTTTTAAACACTGAAGAGCCCCACGCATGAATGATTTAAGATCAAAGTTCTCAGATACGAGCTGCCATCTCCCCAGTACAACTGTATAACCTCTTACCATTTTCATGTAAATTGCTTTACAGCAAGAGTAAGTTTACAGGTGTGCTGTAATATATGAAATAAGCAAACTCATTAAACATCCAGGAAAGTATCATCAGGAAACTAACAGCGAAAAAACCTACTATTGTTATGGTTTGTGCAAACTCCTGCAAACCTTTCATAGACAGAAATGTATTAGGGAGGCCATCATTTTAGGAACGTGAAATTATTTCGACTTCTTTGCATACTCTCTATATAAATACACCGTGGTATAAAGCATTTATACTATTTCCCTTGAATCTGAAATTCACATGTCAATAACATACTGATGCAGTATAGGTGACATAAGAAAAAATACACATAGGAAGGATTCCAACCATTTTCTAGGACAGTGTCTACTTTAGAGACTACTTTGAGTCTTCTGTGCAATAAGTGTTACGTGAAGCTGGCATTGCAAAACTCAAATGCTGCAGGGGGTTGTAAAGTCCCTCTGTTCCAGGCACATTTTAGCTTGGGGAACACCAGAATACCAATCTCATCAGCAAGGATCAGTGAAAAATCTCAAAACACAAACGATATCTCTAATTTCTGTAGGCTAAACTAATCTGAATACGCTTCCTAACAGATATCAGTCTCCCTCAGCTCATTAGAGCTGTTTTCGTGACTGCCGAAATTCAAAACAGAGAGAGCACGAGGGGAAAAACTGCTTCAAGGAAAGACCGAGTGGCCAGAACCAGTTAGCATATCCTGTCCAAATCCAAACAAAAATAGCAATCAATTTCAAATACTTGAGTTTCATCCAGTTGACATTTCATTCCACTGGCCTGTGGGGTTTTTTGTTTTGTTTTTGGTCATACTTTAATTTTCCTTACAACAATATCCTCTTACGTGATAAACTGAAACACAATTATTGAATGAGATATCTGGGTTCTGCGACCCTAGTATTTAAATTAAATGTACCTGCCTTCAGGCATTTTGGCAAATGAATGTGATACAAGTTTAACAACAAGCACTGAAGACCTCTGAAAAATAAAAGAGATCAAGGACTACAGAGCCATCACAAAACACACTATGATTCTGTTGTATCAGAACAACAAGGACAAAAGCAAAATGGAAAGACAAATGTGTTTCCCAAAACATAAAGGCGATGCCTGTGGACAGATGCTGAAGGAAGTTCCTTACAACTGTAGGCAGGGAAAAGAACTGTAGTCAGAGAATGCCCATACAATAAGGAAATGTAATAACGAAAAAGGCTCTACAAGTTTGCCAGTAAGTGAATCTCACAGGTTTCTGCCAATTCCTGTGTCAAATATACAGCCTCAATCCTTCAGACTATAGGTTATATATACCACGTTATCGCTTATCAAAATACTCTTCGGATAAGATCTTCAAATTGTCTTTAGGATTGGCTTCACCTTTATTTCCAGAGGCCACGTGAGTCACATGCACACACACGTTTACTTGCACTTCTCCTTGCAGTGACGTCCAGTCAGGTCATATTGGGTCTCTCAACATTTCCAGAGCAGTCTCTGCACATTAATCACAACTACCATCTTTCCAACCATCTCGCCAGCGCTCATCCACACGAGAGCAGTCAAATTCAGTTTTCCCCAGTTTCCTGTTCACTTCATTATGAAGAAGACACAACCACTGGGAGAAGTTATGTCTGTTGCTAGTGTCAGGCTCATTGGTACGTAATCTGCAGACGGGGAAGAGGAAATAAGTGTTATTTCTTCACAGCCACCAAAGCAGAAATAGGGCACACAGACAGCTGAAGGCTTCCTTTCCATTCCTACAAGATCAGTCCCAAAGAGACCTCAGAACACAGCACAGATTCGTCAGTAAACAACAGCTGCAACCAACGTGGTTTCAATCAACCCCTAGTCTTGCTTTCAACTGCAAAAGATACAGCAGACAACAGTCTATTTATGAGGAGCAGCAAGAAATGCACCAAAAAAATGCAACCATGCAAATGGAAAACATCAAGCAGTTTTCTCCTACTGTGTGACACCTGCTGGCTTTTAGTCACTGATTAGCTTTCAAATAGGGGGAAAAAAAAAAGGAAAAAAAAAAAAAGGTTTTGCTATATTCTAACTTGGACAAAGAAAGAGCCTCACTTAAAATATATTTAGTTCTAGTTACACAGAGCTTGTAGAGTATTTATAAGCACTATTTGAGTTTTCAGCTGTTTTCGTATTACCCAGCTTAGCACTGTTCAGTTTTCTCAGTGGCTAAGGAGAACCCGCTTCTAGAGACTCAAATAAATCACTGAATTCAGGCCTCCCAATATGACAAAGTCTGTTGCCACTCGAAAGTACTTAATCTCACCACTACCCAAGATAAACCAATGCCCACTCCATACTACTCGAGTCACAAAACAAAAAACATAAAAATCATTTGGAAAACAGGAGTTGAAGTTTTACATGTTGACTGTAAGAGTCCACTGCTGAGGTCGGCACGGAGGGCACACACACACACTTACCTTCTGAAAGCCAAATTAGCCCCAACCTAAATCCATGACCAGTCAGATCAGGTTGGAACCATAAAAACCTACAACCCCTCTCCCAGGAGGGCTGGGCGTCGGCATGCAGTTCAGGAGCACTAGGAAGGGCCCTCTTTTACTGGAACAGGGTTTTGTGATTGATGCAATAACGGAAAACAAACAGAGAAATGGCCGGGTCGGCTATAAAGCCCAACGAGCGGAAGCGCCGCTGCCGTGTAAACAGGCACGGGGGTGACGGCGCTGCGCGGGGTGACAGTGCCAGAGGGGTGACGGGGTGACAACATCACGCAGGGTGACAACACCACACCACGCGGGGTGACGGGGCGATGGCACCGTGCGGGGTGACAGCGCCACGCGGGGTGATGGCACCATGCGGGGTAAGGGGGTGACAGCGCCACGCGGGGTGACGCCGCCGCGCGGGGTGACGGGTGACGCCGCCGCGTGTCTCACCTCTCCCTGAGGTCGTGGGCGCACTGCTCGCACGGGTAGAACTGGGAGAAGAGGTGCAGGAAGCGGCGCATGTCGCGCTGCTGGGCGCCGCTGGGCCGCTCGGGGTAGTAGGCGGCCATGGTGTGCAGGAAGGCCCACGTGCTGCGGCCCAGCTGCTCGCTGTCCAGGGGACAGTCCGGCGGCGGCTCCTTCTCCTCGGCCGCCACGGCCGCGTCCTGCGGGAGGACAGGGGGGACATGAGGGACGGAGCGGCTGGGGGGCCCCTGGCACCCCTACAACGGCAACCCCCCTGCAAAGGCAACACGCCGGCTGGCTGGAGAGGGGGGAACGCCATGGTGGGCACAGGTGGCTCTCTACCCGCCCCGGGGCGGCTGTGGCGGGTAACGACCCCCTCCACCCCCGGGTTACGGTGGGGACGGGCCCCGGCGCCCCGCGCTGCCGCCTCACCGCGCCGCCCGGCGCCGCGCGCTTCCTCTGCTCGCGCAGCCAGCTCTTGAAGTCCGTGCAGGCCCGGCACGGCTTCTTGGGCGGCTCCTGCGGCCCGGCGGCGCCCGGCGGCGCGGGGAACGGGAACGGGAAGGCGCCGCTCTCGGTGCCCGGGAACGCGGAGGCGGCGCGCCGGCCCTCCCCGGGCGCCGCCATCTTGCGGCCGCGGTGCACGCCGGGCCGGGGAGGCCGCCATGGCGGCCGGGGGGGGAGAGGAGGAGGGGCTGTGCCGCCATTTCCATATATATATATATGGAATATATATATATTTTATATATATATATTTTTTTTTCCCGGGGCTGTGCATTTCTGGGCACTCCTTTTATCCCCCGGAGGTCTCTTGGGAGCCAGTGGCAGCTGAGATTGACCCTACTCACGTACAAAGTGTATTCCCTGTACAGCCACACTGCATTCACGTCCTGAACAGACACTGTGTCCTCCACACACACCACGTCCTCCAAACACTGTGTCCTCCACATGCTGTCTCCTGCACACACACTGTGTCCTGCACACACACTTTGTCTACCACGCGTGCCCCATCCTCCATGGACACCACGTCCTCCTCACACGCCACGTGCTCCGTACCTCGTGTCCTCCACACACACCGTGTCCTACACACATGCCATGTCTTCCACCCATGTTGTGGTCCCCCCGGCCACCACCATGTCCCCTGGCTGACAACATGTCCTGTGTTGGACAGTGTGGACACTCACAGGTCAGCGCCAGCATTGTCCAACCTGCCCCTTCAGGACTCTGCTGCACGTGCCGAGGAGCCCCAAACTCATAATTTCTGTGTGTGGAATCATTGCCATGGTGGCAGCTATATAATCACCTAACAGCAATGTCACCACCCCCAGAGCACACTCGGAAAGCCAGTTTTCCCAAACTGCCAGCGAGAAGCTCTGGCCTAACTCTCCTCTCGAGGCCTGTTCAAACACCGCACGCAATTCTGCTTATTTGTATAAGCTTTAATGATATCGCACCAGGCTCAGTTTTGAATCTCGTATTTGAAGAGAATAGGATTAGTTTTGCTGCGCGCTGCGTGTCCGCGCGCTAGCATCATGACCGGCCCTTGCAGCCGTCTCGCCAGCGCTCGTCCACCTGGGAGCAGTTGAAGGGGTGTTTGCCCAGCATCTTGTTCACGTGGTTATGGAGCTCGCAGAGCCACTGGCACAGGTTCTGCCGGCTGCTCGTGTCTGGCTTTTTCGTGTTTAAGCTGCAAGAGCAGAAAAGAAACCCCCACAAATTAGACCCACACAAACCAATGAATTCACTGTTTGGACAAGACAAGACTAAAATATAACCTTCTTTGCTCTGTAAAATATCCTGCGATTACACTCAAGCTTCTGGAGTTCTGCTTTCCTCCTCGATCATAAAATAAACTTAATTAAGATCAAGTGGGACACACCTCCTCTGCAATGTGTATCTATCCTTATAATGCTTTTACCATAAATAGAAAGGTATCCGTCATTGCTTAATTTACTGCTCTTCAAGCCCACGTATAATGTGTTGTGTTTGAGCAGGGCAAAGACAAACTGCTGCAGGTGCCTTCATTGCTTCGTCATGTAAAAGCCTTACACTCCTCAAACCCTTAGGTCTTGCAGCCTCAGACCCTTAGGGCACATGAAATATTCCCAAATCCTTTTGGACCAGCTCCTTATATCATAACTAGTTACCAAGCTGGGCAGCAGGAGAGCTCAGCAGCACAGACCAGCCTTCCTACCTGCAGGCTGTGCTGAAGAGGGCCTCTATATTACCTCAAGCATAGTGATGTAATCAACAATATGATTAAAATTAAAACGTAATCAACCCCTTAATTAAATCAGACTTATGCACCAGTAGCAAAATGTCTCCTTATCATATTTTGCATATTTAAAAACTGCTACGTGCTTGTATCGAGGTAAAAGCCTATTGAGAAAGGATGGGCTTACCTGTTCCTGAGGTTGGTTGCACATGTCGTGCAAGGGTAGAACTTGCTAAGTAGGTTGAAGAACTGAGCCATCTCCTGCTGCTGGGTGAAGCTGGGCTGCTCTGGGTAATAGGCTGCCATGGTGTGCAGGAAGGCCCACGTTTTTTGCCCCAGTTCTTCTGTGTTGAGTGGACATTCCGCAGCTTGCTTTTTCCTCCTTTTCTGGAAAGCACGGGGTTTGCAAGAGTGCGTGACTTAGCTTGTGTCTAAATCAGCTTAATTCAGTCCGTTGTCCTAACGGAGGGAGCGAACAAGACATTTCAGATGTGCATAGACGTGGGGGCTGTGACCCAGCTCGGCTCCAAACCTGGGTGATCAGCGCATCAGGTTCAAAGCTGTGTCCCGGCCCCGGGGAAAGGCCGATGAGATGGGGCTTGGCCCCATGCTAAAAGTCCAGGTCAAGATTTTACCAATTCATAGTGTGGTTCGGAGAGCGTGACTACCTAAAGCCAGGCTCCAAGATGGGACAGGATGCTGGGGATGGAAAGAAGTAGCACTGGGACCTTTGGAGCCTCATTAAAAGCCCAGATTACATGAGCTTGCTTGGACATCGGGCAATCTGCATCTCCCCTGTAGCTGTGAGAGGATGGAGAGAGGAGGGAAGTTTCCAAACACATAGAGGACAGTCCCTGGCATGGTTTAGTTCTCATCCTGTTAGCCCTGGAGGATCGCAGCTCTTTAGCTGCTATCCAGCTTTTTAGGGTCAAAATAGTCACTTTGGCTACTTAAGCATGGCCCAGGCCTTCCTCCTGAGTTGCTCTTACCCTCCTCCGTAAGCACATGCCCCTCGCCATCCTCAGGAGCTTCCTCTTGGTTTTTGACTTCCTGCAGATAAGGCATTTTCTTCTCTTTGGTCTGCTCAGGATTGTAGGCTGGTTTGGTGCGGACGATGTGCAGGGAGTGTCGGCCTCAGAAGAGCACGAAGATACGGCAGAGGGCAGAGAAAGCAGCTGCTTCCCCAACCTCCTGTCCTTTTCCAAGTAGAACACCAGCATCACGTCCTTGTTTTTCCTCTTTTTGGCTTGCTGCTGCGGTGCCATTGGGGAGATTTCCAGGCCCTAAGAGAAGCCTCCCAGGGTGGACGGAGCGCTCTAGAACGTGACGTCCGTCTCCATTTCCACCCTTCACATCTTCGTGTCCGAGGAACCGCTCGCTCCGACGCCGTGTTTAGCTCATGCAGCGCGGGCACGTGGAGAGGCTCCGCGGGGCGCGAGCCGAGCCGCGCCAACGGGAGCGATGGCAGCGCGGCCCGCGCTGAGCTCACAATGCGGAGCGCGTTCCGGCACCCTGCTCCCTGCCCGCCCAGCCGCCCGCTTCCCAACACCGGGAGCCCGGGAACGGCGCTCGCAGCTGCAGAGCCAACTGCGCTTGCACGGCGTGCATGCGATTGCCCCCAGCAGCAGAAACAGGGAGGTTTTTATTGTATCGTATTTTATTTTTCCCCTGGATCTTTGCAGATGGAGAGGAAATGCTGCTTGTTATCCCCATCTCAGCTGCCTGGGTGAGGAGGCCTTTCTGAGCAGCCGCGGTTCCGCCTGGGCAGCTGCCTCCCGTCTGCCCAGAAATCTCCCAGGTATTTTCTGCTGCCATTAGCTTGGCGCTGCTCCGAGCTTTTGCTTGTCAGCACCCGAGAATTTCTCCAAGAAGTCTCTCCAAAATATCAGCGTAAGGAATTCTCGGACTGTGGCTGTCAGGTTCCTGCCTCGGCTCCCACCTGGTCTCACCCTTCGGCCAGCACCGGCCCTTTCCGTGTCCCCTCGGGCCGCACTGCTATGACAACTTCTGCTCCGCAGCTCCGACCTTCTGGAAACAGCCGTGCTTCTTCCAGCCACATCCACCTTCCTCCAGGCTGTTTCACACGCTATTGGAAATGCATCTGGAGTCTTTTCCTGGATCTTAAATTAGGGCTGTTGTGCCACAAATGCCGCAAAGAGGCAATTTGTGTGAAAGCTGCTGGAAAAAATGCTGCTCGTTTTCAAGCTCTTATCCTATGATATGTTTAACACAGCATGGGATAAAATTTTGACTAGGTAATGCATCGTATTTAGAAAGATTTTTTGAAGGCGTGCTTTCAGAGACGTGCTTTCCAAACTTCATGTGCATTCCATGGAAATGGCTGAGAGCTTTTCCAGGCTGTGTAGCACGGAACTGATGATCTGGTTCTGTCTTCGGCCAAGTATTGACTAGGGCTCCGTTTTTATATATGCAAAATTTCTTTGCTGATCTTTGTGAGGCAGGAGAAGAGGCCTGAGTAAATGAGAGGAAGCAGAGAAATGTGTCTGAATTTACAGGCAACTATATAAATTGGAGGCATAGAGGAAAGATCTCATGGGGAAAAGGACATTCCTCGTATTTGTTGTCCTTGCACACCAATAAAGATTTAAAAGCTGTTGATGACATCATTCTAAAGTTCATTCTGGAGAGAAGGTTCACTGGCATCTAGGAGAAGGAGCAGGGGAATTTCTTACAATACTTTATTGTTCAGCATTAAAGTAATTAAATATTTGCAGAGATATTTTTGTGTTTAAAAAGTCACCCCAATTGGCTGTTAACACAGTCTGCTTGCTTCCTGGTTAGTAATTTCACTTATTTAGTTAGTTAAAAGCATAAGTGGGTTTGATACCGATTTAAAATTAAGAACTACGTTGGAAAGAAGCTGTTAGCTGAGGAGGGATTTGTGCCCGGGGTCTCTCCCCCTGCCCCTTTTCTGGGCAGCCTTAAGGACAGAGCAGTCCTCTATGAAGAGGTGCTCCTGATTTCATCTGTCTGTAGCCAGCGTGGTCTTCTTTGAAAGGAGGTAAGGAAAAAATGGAGAGATGCTCAGATCTAATCAGAGTGAGGAAACCCACTTTGCTGTGGCTAATTGTACCCAGTTTAACCCTCCATTTGTGTTGTCTGGAGGAAGGACCATCGCACGGAGCAGAGCAGGGACCCCGAACCTCCATCCTTCCCCCCTGCCCTGCCCTGGGTCCTGCCCTGAAGCACAGCCCGGTCCTGCTTTCCCTTTTGGGCCGCTTTTCCTTGGAGACATCGCGGTGTTTTGCCAGCTGTCGGGAGGAAATCCTGCCTCTGGTTCTGTGGAATCGAGATAGGAATATTGCCATAATAACATACAGGGGAAAAATAACTAGTCGATACAAAGCCATTGTAGCAACATAGGTTGTAGAAGTACGAAGGGGTAATGGCGATGATATTGCTTTCAGTGCTTAACCACGAATGTTAATATAAAAACAAGATGATATGGTGACTTTTAAGGAGGATTTTGTCCCGTTTTCCCTCCCTTGCTCAGCTGCGTCCCTTCCTGCCGGCTGTGCCCGCTCGCTCATGCAGGGCTGCACCGAGGGGCTGCAGCCACCGTCCATCCTCACCGCTTCCCTCGCCAAACCTCTTGCACCGGCAGCTCCCGTTTTGCACTGGAGGAGCCCGCAGAGGGGACGGGTGGGGGACGGTGTTTGCCAGGACGCGTCTCCTGCACCCGTGGCTGGGGCCCAACCTGCTGCTTCCCAACCTGCTGAGCCTGCCCGGGGGCGCCCAGGGACAGAAGCTCCGGCGCTGCCTGGAAATGCGGGAGTTTTTCCTGCTGCTGTCGGGGAACGCAGGCCCTGGGGCCGGAGGAACCGGCATCTCGCTGGGCAGCGAGCCCGGCGGGCAGCTGTGTCGCCACGTCCCCCCGTGCCGGGACTTTGATGTAGTAGCTGGGAATGCAACAAAGGCTGTTTCCAAATCAGCACTTAAAAAGGGGAGGAAAAAAACCCCTGCAAGGAGCTGTTTCCTGGAGGCAGAGACCAAAGGGTCGCTCGTCCCGGCGCCGGCCCCGCGGGCTCTAATTGAGGCACCTGGCGGCTGCCCCGGGCACGGGCAGCACCGACAAAGCCTGTTTTGATGCGATCCCACCTGGAAGCCGGGGCTCGGGGCGGCTGCTGCGGAGAGGCCCCTTCCAACAGCCTCTTAATCCGTGCCTGGAACAGGGCAATGCACCCAGCCGTAATGACAGTAATTACCAGGAAGCATTAGTGAGCCCCGGGCTGGAGAAATTGCAAAAGGGCGTTGGAGCTGGAGCCGCTGTTTGATGTCCTGCTCTTATCTCCGGTGTTTGCCCAGCAAGAGCTTGTGAACTGGCAGCTGATGCCCGGCGTACGGGAAAGGAGGGAGGAATGGGTCGGCATGGGGAGAGGATGGGTGTCCGGGGGGAGACGCACCCTGTGCATCCCGAGCGCGCCGTGGGAGCGGGACACGCCGCTCGTGCCCAGTCCTGGCTACGCCGCCGCGGTCCTGGGGGTGCCAGGCTCCAGGAGCCCCCGGAGGCTCCACACGGCTCTTTTCCCGGGATTCTGCGCCCAGCGGTGCCGCATCGGAGTGGCCTCGCACCCCGGCTCGCAGAGCCCAGGAGCAGGGAGGGCTGCGGAGCCCGCGGGGCGCCCGGGAGCAACCCGGGGCCCCGGAGCAGCAGAGACCCTGCCTGGAGAGGTCTGGGAAAGGGGAAATACATAAATACATTTTTATATAGTTATGCATGTTTGTGCAGCAGGATGCATAAACAGGCACATCTGCGCCTGCAGGAAGGCTGCTAAAACCTGGCTCAACTAATCTGGAGGAGGACAAGACTCTTCCTGCCACCCCTACGGGCGCCTTCCCGGCGGGCAAGTTGTGGGTCTGCCGGCCGCTTGCTTGGTGCAGCAGAACGTTTGATTCTAACCACAGAACAAGGAATCCTATATAAATATATATATATATGTACATATATTTAAGTCTTCTACTTCACTTGGGAACCTAAACACCATTGACTTTCCATTAAGCTATCCACAGTCCTATGGAAATTTGGAAATTTTTACCTTAAATCCCTTGAAATTCTCTTTTTTTTTTCTTTTTTTTTTTGGTGGTAGTAATGGTGCTATATATAGTTACTCTTAGCTGAACATAACTGTTTCCTCCTCCCGGGTGACACAAAAATGTTTACAGGAAACAGCGTTCACCGTATACCCAAGGGTGTTAGCCTAGAGTCCAACCACTTACAGAGAACTAGTTTGCCACCTCAAGGAGTTAGTCATATGCTTGTGAAATTACAGACAACTAGGAAATAGCGTTTAAAAAATATATATATATATATTTCCAGGTAAATGAATCAGCGGTGAAACATTTCTGTTAACCGTGTTATTTCGGAGGTGTTTGCTCGCGTAGAAGAAATGCTTCACTTGCGAGGTTTCCCCGGCTGTGGAGTTCCTGATGGCAGGAAGGCACCTGCTGCGGACGGAGCTCGGCCCCAAGGAGCGGGAGCGGCTGCTTCCGACCCCAGCGCTGCTTCAAACCTGCTCCGAGGCTCCTTGTTGTGCTCCAGGAGTGCGGGACGGTGCCGGTGCTCTGCCTGCTCGCGGTTACACCGGGAGGCTGCTGCAAGTTAGTTAAGTTAGTCAAGTTAGTGCCATTCCCACCTGTGATGTTCTTGGTGGTTAAGCAGGAATTTGGGAAGAGCTGCGTGCACTCAAAAGGCAGGAGGAGGGAGAAAAGCAAATCCGATTATGCCACTTAGTGCAGGCAGTCGCTGATCCTGAAGCGCCTGCTCCGTCCGCCGTCTCCTGCATCCCCGTGTCCCTTGCAGCACCGGTGACATCAACGAAGGCGTCCTGACACAAGCAGAGCTCCGCCGGCGCTTCTGCTTTTCTTCTTCTTGTAGAAGAATAAAATACAAAACCTTCGGAAATCTGCTTCCATTTCTCGGGGTTTTGCTGTGAGGAGACCGGTGTCCGTGTCTGCAAACACCAGGACTGAGAACAAACAAATAGAAAAACTAAAACTGAGGACCGGTCTGTTAGAAGAGCGGTATGCTTAAAATAACTTGTACCACACACAAAAGGTACATCTGCCATACACAAAAGGTACATCTGCCATACACAAAAGGCATATCTACCGCATATAAAAGGTTAGCCTGGAGGTTTCTCTCTGCATCCTTATCCTTACATTTCGAGTGAGTCCATTTCCTTGTAAGAGGACAAGGCAAGTGGATGGGATTAATTGTGAATTGGTGGTGCCACGAAATGATGCTCAACCTGGAAGATTTAAACATTAGTGAAATAACATTTCTCCTCTCACATTGCTCCTTTGCCTCCCGAGCTTCGGAGGGCTGTGTTGTCCCCGCGGGTGATCTGTGGAGGGACACGGGCACACAAGGGCTTTGTCCTCCCTCCGAGGGAAAGGTGAGCTCCTGAGTTACCCAATGCCGGTGAAAACCCCGGGACGGAGATAAGGCGCTTTGCATGTGCTGCTTATCGAGGGTAGTGGGGAATGAGGAAAGAAGAAGCACCTGAACGTTGCTCGGAGCCGCTGGGAAGAAACCAAGCTCCTGTCCGTGATGTTACCATCCGCCAGCAAGCAGAGAATTCATGCAAATGACAACCACCTTTCTACACGCCCGCTGGTCCCTTTTGGACGCTGGTGGCCGTACACGTTGTGTTCCTGGGGGTTTCCTCCTGCAGCCTCAGCTGCCCGAGCACTGTCAGCAGCTTTAGAAACTTTGCCATGAAATCCCTTTTTTCCTCGTATCTCCTACACGTACGCACTGCGTGCTGGCCTCTCACCGCAGGGAGCAGCTGTCAAACACTTTATTTCTTACATAAAAAAAAAAAAAAAAAAAAGCAGGAAACTCTCCTGCAACGGGTTAAGTTACATTGTCACCTTCTTGGAAATTTCATTCTTGTCCTTTGCGTAACCCTAGGAAACCATGCAGCTTTTACAAAGGAATTGTAAAATGGATGCGCCGGGAGCTCAGCGGACGGCCCGGGTGGGTCCTGCAGCCCCCGGCCGCTCGCTCCGGGCTGCTTCGCAGGGACCTTGGTGGCCACATCCCCGGGGACCTGCACGAGAGGAGGACGGTGCCTCCCGGGCCCTGCTGCGCCCTGCTCCCTGCAACGCCCCAGCCCAGAGCCTCGAAGCGGGTGACCGAGAGCGAGGATCCCCGCGCTGCGTCTACAGGGAAGAGGCCGCGAGCCGAGTCGTCCTCCGTGCTCACGGACTAGGACGTAGGGGACACTCCGGGCACGTGAATCACATGCCATTCGGTTGCCCGCTGTGAGGTCTCGATTGCCTCTCCGTGAGCCTGGGGCAGGGGCACCCGCACCGCGAGGTCTGAGCTCGCCGGGATGACTCCCACGCCGAGGGCTCCAGTGACACAGTAACCACGGAGCGACCGGGCTCCGTGTTTGCTTTCTTCTCTCCTTTCTCCAAGAGAGGGAGGGTCGGGCTGGGTTTGGGTCTGAGGGACGTGGCTCTCCTTTTATACAACCTGCCCATCCAAGGCCATGCTATGAGTGACCTGGAAGGGGATGAGACCCCACGTCCCCTCTCCGCTGACAAGGACAATCGATGGGACTCATGCTGGAATGCGAGACCGAGGTCTCCAGGAGCTGAACGGGACCTTTGTCAGCCCCGCCACAGGATGGACTGCAGCTCAGTAGCTCATGCAGCAGCGGTGCAAAATTACTTACGCTTTCTTCCAGAAAATGATATTTGCCAACTTAAGCTCTTTAAATGCAGGTGGGGATAGACAGACTCAGTTCTTATGACTAAGGGATAGACATCCTCGGTATTTTTAGCAGGAGGAACTATTTTAAGCTGCAAAAATGCACTGTGATCCAAAGGCAAACTCTGCTTACAGGTGTAGTAAACACATCCCCAGCACGGTGCCCTGTTCCATGGGGAGGAAGGGCTCTCCGTGGCGCATCCTTCCTTCTCCCCGGTTGTGACACACACTCCCTGCTATCAGCGGTGCTCACGCTCAAGCCCGAGCTCTTTGTCACGGGGAAAATGCGCGGTGGTTAATGAGGCACCTGGCTGTGTGAACGTGCACGGCAGCACGGGTGCCTGCAGCGCCCGTCCCGCGGGAGCCGCGGCGGCGCCGGGCACGGCGCAGAGCGAGCTGCTCGTCCCATCCAAGCGCCCGGCTCTCCGGAGGCGGGTTCGGCTGGAGGCTGAAAAATGCCTCGTTTCAGGCAGCGGCTGCTGGAGTTGGGAGGAAATGAAACACATTCTTCTGGATTAGCTGCTGCAGAACCTCTCATCCAGCCTGCGTGAGAGCTCAACTGCTTGCCTGTTTATAAGGTGAAGGATATTATTGTACACCAGGCTGCATGACTGATCTTTTTTTTCTTCCCGAATTGAGGCCTGTTTCTGCATTTAATGAGAGTCCAAAACCCCTTTGTAGTCTTAAAATCAACTTTTAGCAGCTGGCCCTTTCATTAAAGCTGCTGATAGGTCAGGTGTCATCGCGGGTGACCTTGGAGAAGAGCGAAGGGCGGGTTTGATGCGCGGGCAGGGACACGCGGAGCTCTCCCCCCTGGCCGAGCCTCCAAGCCAGGAGAAGGCAGAGGAACGTGTGGGTGCCTTGGAATGGCTGCATAGGCCATGCCTTATCTTGCTGGAAAATCAGCCCCTCTGCATCACTTATCAACCTGCAATCTCCTTTATTCCCTTTAAAACGGCTAGAGGGAAAAAGCTGGCATCACGAGCTATGTAAATACATCCTGCTGATAAAATAGCAGCACCCAGCAGCACTACCTGGGATTTTACTTCTTCCGGGCAGTCCTTTCCTAACCTGGGGTTAATTATTACCCGTGGGGATGCACCCGTTCATGGTGGGACGGTGTGGAAGTGGAGAGGAAGCAAGATAAGCGGGCCGCGCTGCGGGTGAAGCTGCCTGCGCGCACCGGGATCCTTCCCGGCAGAAGGGACGTGGATGTTCCCGGTGCTGGCGTCACCGAGCCGTGTCACCGAGGAGCATTTAGTGCTGCTTGTGTCGTCCCAAGGCCACCCCGCGCGGCCCTTCCCTCCGTGCCGCACGTTTGGTCATTCGGGATTAATGTGATGCGACTCCTTAAGGGAATCTCTTAAATGAGACGTTTCCCGTTCCTTCTTTCCGCAGCAAAGCTGGCCCCACGGTGCCGTGATGCGGGCGCAGGGGCATCGCGCTCCGAGCGATCGCTCCGAAACCGTGGGCTTGCTGAGGGACTGACATGGAGTTCCCAGGGGTTTCGCCCTTGGTGACGCTTGCTCTGGGATCCCCGTCCCCAGCCAGTCTCTTCCCAGGAAATCGGCTCTCCAAACTGGCTGACTCGGGTCGCGAGCCTCAGGTCACACGGATCCCTGTGTGGTTTCACTTTTCTGTTGTCACATCTGCTTGTTTTTCTCCCTGTTCCTCTTGAGCATTACGTGGGCATTTCTGCTGGAGTCCACCAAAAAATGGGGCGTAAAGCAAGCTGATGGAAGTAGCAGTTGTCAGAAACAACAGTCAGTGGCTGCTTCCCACTGTGTTAGTTTTTCCTGGCGTTGGAGCTCTGGTGGATGCGGCACCAAGTGCTGCCTGAGCTTCCTTTGGTGGTCTCGTGCACGTGCAGAGGCTTCGGCCCCCCCAAAAACTTGAATTTTGACTGCGGCCCTTCCGAGCAGTTATCCGTAAACTCCCTCCTCCGGGCAAGGCGCCGCGTTGGGTCGGGATCCGGGACGGGATGTCAGTGTGAGCGGCTTTGCTGGGCTGGGCTCCAGCCGGCCCGGGGAGCTCGGCCTCGCTCCGGAGGCCGCGGGAGGCCGCGGGGAGGCTGGACACACGGAGCCCCAGGGATCCTTCCAGCCGGCTGAGGGGCCGGAGCCCAAGGCCATGGAGCCCTTCCTGGCCAGCCCCGAGTGCTGCGCTTGGCTCCCTGTGGCCGTCCTGGCTTTGGGGTCTTTTCCTTTTCTCTCCATAGGGGAATAGTCCCGCAGAGCTGCTGCTGAGGCTTGAGAGAAGCCGCGCGTGATGGGAAGAGGAAAGGAAAGGGCTGGAATTTTCCCTTGGGGTCCTGGCCACGGGGCCGGTTGCATTTTGTCCCCCTGGGAAGAGGAGGAGGAGGGGGAGGAGGGAGCGCTCTGGAAGCCGCTGGGACAGGGAAGGTCCCGCTGGGAATTTCCCCCGGAGCGGCAGGTGACAAGGGGCTCCTGCCCTTTTCCCCGGCAGCGGCTAACGGCAGCGGAGCAAACAAAGGGCACGGGAGGCTTGGCCAAACGGTGGGATTTCTCCCCTGCATTGCTGGGCGGAGGAGGAAGCGGGAGGCGATTCCTCGCGGCCGGGAACGCCCCGGCTCCGCTCCCGCTCCCGCTATTTAGTGGCCGGGAGCTGCGGCTCCGCGGGACTCGCATCCCGAGCGGGTCACCGGGAACATGAGCGGCAGCAGGTACCCCGTGGAGGTGAAGGCTGTGGGCGTCATGCAGTGCCAAAGGCACAAGGTACGGGGCTGCTCTTCCCTTTCCCTTCCCCTTAAACATTATTCGCAAAGTAGAGCTCTTTCAATTACTCTTAGAGGGATACATTCCTCATTCCCACTGCAGCATCGCAATGGGGGGCTGTTAGGTAGGGCAAGGGGCCTTTTAGACTTAGTTTTCAATGGGCAAGACCATAAGAAAATGCTTGTCTGGGATTCTGCTGCCTTTCTGTGGATGATTTCTTCGTTTTCTTCTTGTTTCAGCAATGATTGCTCACATGCAGCCCAAGAACTAAGGAAATACTTAAATTAGATGTAGTTTAAAATTTTGGTTTAAATGGGACAGTCTCACAGCCTGAAACCAGAGCGGAGCCAAATGCTGCTCGCTTGAAAGCATCTGATATTGACCAGCATAATCAAAAATAAATTTCTTTTCCATTTTATTTTACTTTACTTTACTTTACTTCATTTTATTTTATTTTATTTTATTTTATTTTATTTTATTTTATTTTATTTTATTTTACTTTACTTTACTTTATTTCACTTTATTTCACTTTATTTTACTTTACTTTATTTTACTTTACTTTATTTTACTTTATTTTACTTTACTTTATTTTACTTTATTTTACTTTACTTTATTTTACTTTATTTTATTTTATTTCAGAACTACATGATGTCTGTGTCCTGGTCGGATCGAAACAGCATTCTCATCTACCGGACATTTGAAGAATTTAAGAGACTCCATGTAAGTGAAGAATTCCCCAAAAATAACATTTGGTTTCTGGAGAGGGAGGGAAAGAGCTGGGCCGCGTGAACGGGTTTCACAGCAGCGTTTTTCTCCGTGTCGCTTTCAGAAGGAGCTGAAGAGAAAATTCCCCATCGAGAGCGGGTCCCTGAGGAGGTCGGACCGGGCGCTTCCCAAGTTGAAAGGTGAGGAGGCCGAGTCCTCCGCGAGCGTCAAAGAGCAGCCGAGGTGACGACGCTGCTCAGGGCAGCGCCAGCGGGCGCTGGTGGCCGCGGCCACCAACTCACCGCGTGAACGGGAATGAACCTGAGACGCTCAGCAGTCGTATCGGGAGCTGCTGAGAAGGCACAAACGGGGCACAAACGGGGCACAAACGGGCACAAAGTCTCGGCTCCTTTGTCGGGCTGTGGGTGCCGCTGGGTTCACCACCCTGCACAGGCAGAAGGTGCCGCTCTGGACGTGTCCCCGTCCCTTATCTCCCATCCTCTGCGCCTTTCTCATCCTCAAGATGCAAGTGGGAAGCAGAGAAGGAGCGGGAAGTTGAGCAAGTCCTTAGAGAGGCTGAGGCTGCTGGAAACGTATTCCCAGGAGCTGCTGAAAATGGATGCGAAGATCTCCCAGAGCGAGACCCTCACGCAGTTTTTCAAGGCACAAACCCGGGACCTGGAGCCTTCCTTTCCCGAAAACAGGTGGGTACATGTGCGTGACTTGCTTGCCTATTGCTATCCTGCAACGTGCCCGTTCCATAGGTGGGTAGAAGAGCAATATCAGCTACGCTGGAGGGGTGGGGAAGAGCAGGCTCGTTCTGTCAATTTTTTATTTATTTTTTCCCCCCTTTGGGAATATTTGCTCTTTTTAGCACTGAAGTAATTAGGGATTCTCCAGAATACACAACTACCCACTGTGACTTTTCAGTAAATCAGTGCTAAACTTTATTTTCCAGTGTCGTGATCATGCCGTCAGAAATTGGAGCGGAGAAGAAGAAAGGGCGGCAGCAGCAGCACGTGCCCTCCATCACACAGCCGCAGGCATCGCAGAGCTACAGGTGCATCGAGGCCTTTGAAACCAAAGACACCAAAAACAAGACCTTCAAAGTGGCCAAGAAGGAAATCGTTGAGGTGCTGATCAAGGACATGACGGGTATGTTTGCCTAGGATTGCTGGGTTTCAGCGTCGAGGACAGATGCTGTAGGATTGCTAGGTTGATTCATAGCTCGGCAAATACTGCATTTATAGCAAGATGCGTAGCAGCACCAGCTTGGGTGTGTGTTTGTGCGTGTGATGCACGTACCTGGCTCCATGCAGGAAGAAGGAACAAGTGCTGGGACCTTCCCAGGCACCAGGGGCGGGAGCCTGAGCTGAGACCTGGGGCTTCCTTCGCAGCCCGAGCTGAGAGCGGCTCGCGTTCTGCTGCGTGGCCCGCAGTGCACTGGCATGGTGCAGAACATGGGGGGCCGGGGCAGCTGCTCACCCGCTCTGCGGGACTCGCTCACGGCCGGGGCAGCCCTGGCCGGGCTCTGGGGCTGGCGCTCCTGGGACACTCGGACCCCTGCCCACCTCTTACCGGCCTCCCTTTGCCGCAGGGTGGTGGCTGGTGGAGAACGCGGACAAGCAGATCGCCTGGTTCCCGGCCCCGTACCTGCAGGGGCTGGACGCGCGCGGGGACGGCCCCAGCGCCCCGAGCTGCCAGGAGGACGGTGAGGCCGCGCGAAACCCTTCCCTGCTGCTCTCAGCTCACCCCTACCCCCGGCTCCTTCACCTCCCCACCTTTTCACTTACAGATATTTGTAAGTTCTCCAAATACACACACAGAAAATCCCAGACATGTTGGCCCCTGGCTGGCGTCTCTGCCTTTCTCAAGCTTGGAGCTTTTTAGCCACCTCTGCCACCAGCCGTGGGTTGCTCTCCGGGACAGTGTCCTGGTGCAGCTCTCGGCTGCACCTTGCGGCTGCTGAGCTCGTTTTGCACAGGGATGGGGCATCTTTTAACAGTGATTTGGGTAACCGTTAAACCCTGGGTTTCTCCTGTCTTAACTGGGAGCTTTAGACCACAGCTCCACAGGGCTGCGTGCTCCCCGCCCGGGTACGAGGCCAGCCCAAAGCCCGTCCTCCACCCCAGCTCGTGTCTCACGGCGGCTCCCTGGTGCTCGGGCTGTGCCGGGGCGCTCAGAGCCGGGCACCCTTCTGGGTTCTGCTCCAGTTTCCTTCCCCGCTTTGCCACGTGGGCTCTTTTCCCCACAAGACAGCACTCTCCCCCTTCCTCCCCCAGGCTGCCTGTACTTTGCGGCGCGAGCCTACGAGTCTCAGGAGGCGGACGAGCTCTCGCTGAACAACGGCGTGCTCGTGGAGGTGGTGAGGAAGTCCGAGGACGGCTGGTGGCTGAGCCGGTATGCGGGGGGGCCCAAGCTCCTGCTCCCTTTCTTGCCAACACTTCCCCCTCTTTAAGCAGCGGGTGGGATCCTCGCCCCGTCCCCATGCCTGGAGCCTCCATCTCCCTCCCTTTGGGACAAGAGCCCTGCTCAGTGTCGCTTCCATCCTGCCCTCAGGTACAACGGCCGGACCGGCTACATCCCCTCCATGTGCCTGCAGCCCTACAGGAACCCGCACTGCTGGCTGCAGTGCATCGTGAGCTGCGGGCTCAACACCTCCACCCCCAACCTCTTCTCCTCCTCCTCCTCCTCCTCCTCCTCCTCCTCCTCCTCCTCCTCGCTGGGGACTCTGCAGGCCCTGGAGGACGGCGAGGTGCAGGCTCACCCTGCCCATGAGCAGACCCAGAGGTGGAAACCTCTGCCCAGGGCCAGCTCCACTTCCCACCTGGAGAGCGACAGCTCGTCGCTCAGCTCGGGCAGCGAGCCGGGCAGGCCGGGCTGGCAGGGCGACCTGTGCCGGTCCCAGGTCCGGAGCCCTGCCCCGGCACCCCGCGACACCCAGTGCCCGCACCTCACCCAGCGAGACAGGAACGATTCCAGCTTCGCGGAGCCGCGCGCGGCCCCTTCCAGCTGCTCCCTCGACTCAGAGGCGGCCACCTGCACCCCCCAGGTGCCCACGCGGCCCTCGGCGCTCGAGATCCTGCAGCGCTGCAGCACTGTCACCAGGCGAGCCGTGCGCGCGGCGCCGCAGGCGGCCCTGCCGCAGAGCATGCAGTAGTGTGGGGCGTCCCGGCGGCGCGCAGGGCGTCCCGGCTGCACGTGGGGCGTCCCGGCGGCGCGCGGGGCGTCCCGGCGGCACGTGGGGCGTCCCGGCGGCGCGCGGGGCGTCCCGGCGGCRCGTGGGGCGTCCCGGCGGCGCGCGGGGCTGCTGGACCAGGACAAGGGCGAGCACAGGCTGCAGGTGAAGCTGCTCCAGGCAGGCGCACAGGAAGGCTCCCTGCCTGGGGAGGGGCTGCAGGGCTGTCCCAGCACACAATACAGCAGCTGGAAACTGCATCCTTGACCTCTGCCTCCAAGTGTCTGTGCAGGCACAGCGGGAAACACAGTTACGGGAGAGGTTGTTCCTTACTGGGCACACTGGCTGGGGCTACAGCTCATGGTAATGACTGGAACATCCCCCTTACTAAAGGGATCTGATGCTTCTTGAAGCTTCCCCCTCAGCTCACTGAGGGAAATTTGATAATAATAATACAAAAGAAAAAAAACCCTTAAGATTGTTATATATGGTGCTACTTCTGATTTTAATCTTCCCTGTATCTTTAAAATTTTCTGAAACAAGCATTTTAACCAGCATGAAGTGTTTTTGTATTGTTCTATATTATGTATGTTTGTCTTTGAAATAAATAAAACATGTAAATATCTAGAAATATCTGTTTGCTCCTTTTACACTTAAGAAATGTCCTAGTTGGGGAATTAGTTGTGCTCATCTGCCTCCCTGGCGCTCGCCTTCGCAGACAGGGTGAGAGCTGCTCCGCGTCAGAGCACATTCAGCCCACACAAAGAACCTTGTCAGTGCTTAGATGCAGAACTAAGCCCGACCCATGGCCCAGCTGGGCTTTGGATCAACACCAGGAGTGGGCAGGCCCAGCTGGGCTTTGGATCAACACCAGGAGTGGGCAGGGACCCACCTGATCACAGGGGATGCGGAGGCTCCAAGGAAGGCTCAGTGGGAGCCTGGGCCTTCCTCATCTCCAGCATCTAACCAGCCCTTCCTGCAACAGGCACCAGGCTGCAGGGGAAGATAGACACCAAAACTCGGGGTGTTTAAAACACAATGGGAAGCTACAGCTTGAACAAAGGACAGACCATCTCCCCCTCCCCAAAGAGTCTAGAGACAGACACTGATCTGCTTCAAGTTTTTAAAAACAAACTTTAAAAAAAATTATGAAAAATACAGATATCCCAGTTGCCGTGCGTGGTGGGAGAGCTGGCCAAGGGGTCCAGCTCTCCCCTCAGGAGGCAACTGGCAGGAGAAGGGTCATAGAGTCACATCTTCCTGCTGGGACACGTCAGCCAGCTTCATGTTTTGCCACATGAAATCAATGAACATGGAGGCCTCCAGTAACCGGCTCAGTCGCTGGAAATGTCGCTCTGCAAGGAGAGAAACTCACGGTTGGTATCAGGGAAGGGGACGTTCACCATGTGAAGGGTGCCCTGTTAGACCAGAGCAAGCTGGGAACACCCACATTACAGGAGACCTCGGTCTCACAGACCGTGAAAAACCGTTTGTCAGTGGCAGTGCGGAGGCCAGAAGTGCCAATAATCACAGGGTGCCAGGATGAAGGCAACAGCCCTCAGTGGTGTGAGAGTGGCAGGAGCAGAGGGCAGCTGAGGCCACGCACAAAGCACGAGGCTTTTCACCACAGGCAGCACCAGCTCTGAGCCCCCGGCAGCCCCAAGACGCTGGCCCGCGGCTCCAGCGGGACTCACCGGTGTAGGGAAGCAGCGACTCCACGGCACCCTTGATGCCCGAGTACTGCAGGAGGCAGTCCGGCGTCTCGTGCTTCAGGAGGGTTTCCATGACAGCCTGGGCCTCGTGGCAGTTGCGAGAGTTTGTATTCCACGTCACCAGGAAGGCTAACACGGCCTCTGCGGAGGAAGGAGGCCATGGGTACACGCCAGCTGTGCCAGGGCCCCGGCACCTTGCAGAGAGGACGCATTAGAAAGCACCTCTCCTGTCCTAGAGAACAGCTCAGCTCCCAAGCACCACGACTGAGGAGCCTGGAGAGGTTAAGAGCAACACGGAGAACCCCCTTGTGAGCGGTCACAGGGATGTCCTAAAGAAGGGGGTGATCAGGTAAGGTGCCCTTTTGGCAGCTGTGACACAAGGAGAGCAGATTTAGCACGTTTTGGTGCATGGCAGGCATGACTTCGTGCACTAGTGCTCAGTGCACTAGTGTCCCACTGCAGGAAGGTCTCCTGGTTCAATAGGAGAGTCAAGGGACAGGCCGCACCAGAGGCTGAGGAGCCCCAGAAGCTCAGGGCAGCTCTTGGTGTTTGCCATGAACAGCACCACAGCAAAGAGCCTGGCCCTGGGCAGCAGCAGCTCAGCAGTGCTGGGAGCTCCTGAGCGAAAGGTGGGTCTAGGGAGTCTCCTAATTTTAGTTGAGAAAACAGCTCCTCAACCAAGCCTTTGGCACACCACTCAGGCTGCAACAAACCTTTCTGATCCTTCCGCAGCCGAAGGATATTCTCTTCCAAGTGCTTTCTCCCATTGGTTTCCTTGAGGATGGCTGCAAAAGAAATGAAGAAGCAGGGAAAGAATAAGAATTCAGACTCAAGAGCAAGACGCATGTCCTCCTCCCACACTGAGGACCCTACAGGAAACAGCACACAGTCCTGCCACAAGAACCTTTGGACACAGAGGTCAACACACTTTAGATGATCAGGCCAAAGATTCCCTTCCACCTGCTCTAAACCTGCCAGTGTGTCAGTGTGCAAGGAATCCTCCTCTGTTGGCACAGGCTCTCTCGGGCAAAAGAGGGGCTCCTGACATGCTGTTTTATCTGTCTGACCATCTCTGCATCTCTATGCAGAGCTCAGTGTGGGAGCAGCTACACCACCAACCACCCTGACACCCAGAGTGCTGCTGAGGGCCCTTCACGCAGGATCCACCTTCTTAAATGAGCCCACACTTCGGACAAAGAGAGTCAAATAAATAAATATATAAATTCTGGGTGCCACTTGCTACCCTGGGAATGAAAGCTGGCTTGACTTGTAATGCAAGACTAGTGCTCCTCAATCAGCTGTGTTTGTCACACTCAGAAAAGTGACCTCTCATGTCCCTGTTGTGTTGGATTCCTTCTGAAATGCACCCATTGGCTGAGAGCAGGGAGACTTATCAGGAGCAGTAAAAGCACAGATTTCACCTAAGGAATTGGAGTGATATGAGAAAGAGAATACACAAGTTTGCAGTTAAGTTTTGTAGTCTTCACCTCCCTGGAAGAGACCTTTAGGAAGGTAAGAGGCAGAAAATGCCTTCAGAGCTTAGCATGGACTCACCTTTGACCACCATCAACACTGTGTGTGGACGATCCAGAGAGATTGCCAGCCCCAGAGCTTTGAGATATCTTTTCTCATGGAGCAGGTTAGAAAGCTCTTGTTCTCTGAAAAACAATTTGAGGTCAAGGAAATGTCAGAAAAAAATATTTAGTTTGTGGAACAAAATGCTATGCAGAAAGTAGACTTGGCAACAAGAACACGCAGAATTTAGTGCCAAGAAATTAATACCACTTTCCAAAGAACACTTCTTTGCCCTCATTGTGCAGATAATTACCCTGGCACGCTCAGGGACTCCCCGAGCTATTCAGTGCTGGCTATGCACGAGGAAATGAATGATAATAGGTTTCATCAGTTTGTCTTGGCTTACCTCAGCAGTACATAAACATGAAACCAAGATTGTCAGGCTGACAGTATTATAGCAAGGATTTACAGTAACTAAAGATAAACTATGAGATAGGTGAAGAGACTACTGTGATTTGATATAATCAAAATAGCTAAGTGACAGAATCCATAGCTTAGAAGGAAATGGATGACCATCTGTGGACAGTCTCAATAGGAAGAATTTGCCTTTTCACAGCCCACCGCTGCCAAGACCCACTTACTTCATAATCTGCTCTTCCTGCTTAGCTTGTGCCTCTTGCTGTTCGATTTCAGTGACATCCTTTAACAAACCAGAACACAATCATGTCAAATCTTGCTTTAATGTAGATCAATTTTTGTTTAGCTATCAAATGACTTTAAGATTTTTTTTTTTTTTGTAAAAAGATCTTCAGGTCAAATAATCGCTGAATTTATCAACTTGCAATTTCCTTCCACATGACCCTCCAAACACCCATGCTTGGGCAGGCTGAGGCCCATCTGCTGTCCTAACAGTTTATGACACTGTCTGGGTGTGGCCAAATAAAAGAGAAATCAAGATATGCCTTACTGACCCAATTTCAAAGTGCAGGAAAGGAGAGGAGTGCATGAGTCAGGCTGGGGCAAGGTTGGGACCAAACCCCGAGGATCCTGATCTCTGCCCTGCGTTCTGATCACCAGGCTCGAGAGGAGAGCCGGGAGGGCTCCAGCCTGTACCTTCCACAGCGTGATGCAGGAGTCGCTGGATCCCGTCACAACCAGGTCATCTTGCTTGTTAGAATGAAGACCCCAGATTTTATCTTCATGACCATCTAATGTTTTCACACACTCATTTGTTTTAATTGTCCAGAGTTTTAAGAGACCATCAGAACCACTTTTGGAAGACAAAAAAACAAACAACAGAATTAACTCAAAGGAACATTAGATAGACTTATTCTTAGTCTGTCCTGCCTCTAGTACTGAATAAACAGATCTTATTTCATTGCCTTCAAAGTGGGAGTAAAACTAACCACAAGTATCAAGAGAGCTTAAGCAGCTCAAGCCATGTAAACTCTGAAGCCAGGCCCAGCTTAAACAGCTCTCCAACAGCAAAAGAAAGCACTGTGTTATTAATTCTCAGTCCAAACAGGAGACACTTCCCAGGATTACTAAGCTTTCCTCAATGATTTCTTCTTAGAAAACCCTATTTCTTACGTATCACCGTAAGTTCCAACGTTCCAGTCTCTCATATTTCAGCTTTTCCACAAGGAAAGGCAGCACAGGGGACTACCAGAGGCCCAGGAAAGCTACATCATTTCCTGCTTCTAGCTAGAGGGCCAGTTCTTGCAGGCAGCAATTCCAACCGTTTATCTCTTGCTGCTTTTCCCTTGCCAGAGGAGGCAGAGGGGTGAGATGCGCCCTTAGCTCTGCCCAGCTATAATGTAAGTCACTGGCTGAGCAGGGCCAGCAGCAGCAACTGGAATCTGCAGCACAGCTGCAGAACTAGAGGAAGACAAGGCAGTCCATGTAAAAAAGCTTAGCAGAGACACGGAATTTTCTTCTCAGATTTTCCAAAACAAAACCCATCATTCAAGACTCTACTCCCTTGTTGCTTACATCAGCTAAGGCATTTCCTTTCTGATAGTTTTAACACCTTCTAGGGCACTGACTTACCTGCTAAGCAGCTGGGTGCCCCGGCTGACAAATATGATCTTCAGTACAGAGGCATCGTGACCTTCAAAAGTCTGGAAAACAGAAAGTTCAAAAGAGCTGTTGCCTGGCTTTTCAAAGACAAGCCTCTCTAAGGGGATCCAATGCACTGCCTCAGCTCTAACGCCTTAATCCTTATTTTATGCCAGGTTTTCCTGGGCAGTTTAACTTCATTACCTTCAGACAGCTGAAGTCCTGAAGGCCCCAGAGCTTCAGTGTCCCATCTGCTGAAGAGGTGGCCAAGATCTGGTCCACGGGGGAGAACTGCACGCACCAGATTCCACGTTTATGGCCAGTGAAGACACCCAGCAAGGAGCAGTCGGAAGAGGACCACAGCTTGGCCAGCCGATCCTGCGAGCCTGTGGCGATGAGCTTGTCATTTGGAGAGACTGCCACACTGTTTATATCCTGGAAAAGGCAACAAGGACAGAGGAAAAGCACATTAGATCTTCCTATTGTTACTGAACATTAGAAAATTCAGTGTACAAATAAAGAAGGATGTTAGTGTCAATGCTTGATCAACTATGCCAATGTCCTCAAATTGCTGGGCCTTTACTTGTTTTGGAGCTCACTCACGCGACTGCTCATTTCTATTAAGCTAGGAAGTGGACAAACTGCCAACAATTACACTCATCATTTTAGAAAAGATGACTTAATCAGGCTTGTTTTATTTTTGAGAAAAGGAGAAGAGAAAGACTGCAGCCTGTTGAGTGTGTGAACAGAAGACAGAAACGAGCTTCACAAAAAAATTAGCTAAAAACTGAAGACATAGACCAGTAAGCAGCTCCAGATGAAAATCTCTCGTCTCAGCCTTAGAAGCAAGTCCTCAGTCTCCTTTCCTGAAGTGTCAGGATTTTCCCATCACCTACACTACCATCTACCTCAACCAATCCTGAACTGTACTTGCAAGCTCCACGTTAACATCGAGCACCCAGATTTACTAGAGATATTTCTACACATTTCCAGGTCTGGTGAAGCTCTACCTTGTCATGACCTCTCTCAGTCACTTGGGCATGAAGGTTTTCTGGACTGGAGATCAAGGCTGCTTTTGCTTTGGATGTGAGGGATTCAGGAATATTCCAGATTTTTACTGTGCAGTCCTGGCTGCTTGTCACTATGAAGCTTTCTTTCAATCTGAAAAAAAAAAAGAAGTATAAGGCAAAGACGTTCCAAGTGTAAGGAAGCAAGACAGTGGCTTTATTCGTGCAGAAGCCTTCTCTTCCTTCTCCTCCCAGGACCTACACACTTTCAGTTGCTGCTGGAATGTTAAACAGAGCACTTGCGATTTTTGAAGCTCACTTTCATTTTCCTGTTCCTGTGGGAGCCTCCAGCAGCTCAGACATTAGTAAATAGCACTGCTGGCTCTCTCAACCTACACACTCAGGTACGCTGCACTCTTGAATAGAGAAGCTGGGCTTCAAAACTACAGGCAGCAAGAAAGGTGAAGAGCTGACTAACAGACATGCTGTTCAAACAGGCACTTTTATATTCACATTCTCTGTTGCCCAAGACAAACAGAAGTGAGACTGACAGAAGTACAAGGTGAACAAAGTGCATCCAAAAACCTTCCCTTCAAACACAAAGCACTACCAGGGATGAACAGCTTCAGAGACAGCATTCCCCAAAACATCCACGCGCTGAGGATCAACACAAAGATGCACTTCGTGCTGCAAAGGTAGCTCTGCCCCATCTTTATTACCTTGAGCAAGAGACGGTGCCCACCACATGTGCGTGGCCCAGTCCTTGGGCTACACAGGTCACTTTTCCATCTTTGCGCATCCGCCAGACTCGAAGACTTTTATCCTGTAGTGAAAGAGGAGAAACTGTTGTGTTTTTCTGACAAGTGATCAATCTCACACATTTACTCCATGCATAAGCCTGGCTAGAACCTGGGCCTGCGTTCCTCAGGGCATCTGAGGGCAGAATGGCCAAGCAGGCTGCACTGCAGCTTGCAGGTTAATTCTGAGCATATTGGGCCAGCTGGCACCTTTGCTTCCAGCACTTTATCTGGTCCACGGTCCTCCATCAGGCTCTCACTAATAACGCCCATGCAAGAGCAAGAAAAACTTGAAAAATGAGACATTTTCTTTCAAGCTATTAAAGAACAACCAATCAATATTCTCCCAGAAATAATATTAAGAAAAGGATAGTACTGGGCCCTTATATTACAGGGACATAGCAGATCAGAAATTCCATCTCAACAAAAGCCCTTTCCAGATCACCAAAAAGGAACAGTAAAGCTATCCATAAAGATCCCTAGAATAAAAAGTTTCATTTAATAAAAAAGAAAGCTTCTATACCTTAGCACAGCTTACAAACATCAGGCCTTTTCTGAAGACATCCAAAGCAAGAATCGTTTCTAAACAGATGAGAAGACAAAGCAATACGGTAACTGGACAACAGAAGTGCATGATTATGTGGAGTCTATCGCTTACTGATTGGGGTAAACAGCTCAGACTTCAGACCATATCTGCCTGCATGACAAAGTGACATGTGGTTTATGGCACTCATGTCAATCACTTATCACCACAAAACCGCCTTCAGAGCTACTGCTACATCTTTAATCTACATAAATCTCTCTGCTTGTACAAGGGACCAAGCTGACAGCTGGAAAAGTCAGGCTATGGTTTACAAAGTCACAACAGCATGACTACCTGCTTTCTCCACATCACTGCAACACTGCTGTGACACTGTTCCAGAGCACTCAGACCCCAGACTCCACATAAGCATTGCCAGAGGGAAGGTAGATACAGAAATACTTCAGGCTCCCCTCCCACCCACAGCAGCGCTGCCCTCACCTGTGTGGCCATACAGGATCTGGCAGTGTGATGTTGCTAGCTCAAACACCTTCAGCTGAGGGCTGTTGGTAGCCACCACAATGTGAGAATCACCAGGTCCAAGGAACTTCACATCCAGAACCTCGTCGTTGTAACCTGCAAACTGAAGATTTGGGAACATTTAACATCCATTCAGAAAACAGATGGTTAGAAAAAAGCACTAAATGGCATCACGCTCAATGAGACTGCGTCAGTGTGAACTTTAATACTGAAGCTTATTAGACATAAGCCAGAGCACAGAACAGACTCCTGGCTAGGACTATTCTGTGTTTTACATTTGTCTGTTTTTGTGCAATATTTCTTCGGACAATTCCTCCAGTGAAATTGGCTTTATGCCTTGTAAATACATATAAAAAACAAGAAACAGCCCAAGGACAGGCCAGAAGAGAGGGAAGTCTTGGACAAAAGCTGTCACCAGAAGCAGAGACAATCCCAAGGCGTGGATATAGGAAAAGGAAGAATGAAGACTGTTACCTGCTTCTTGAGCTGGAGAGTTGGAGCATCATATAAAACAATGCTGTGTTCCACGGACACGGTGACAAACTGATTCCTCCCAGGCACAAGCATGCAGTGGGTCAGACTGCGCTCGCTGGCCTCCTCCTTGGATTCCACAGGCTCAAAGGGCACAGCCTGGGTAAACACACAGGCAGCTGTGGCAACTTCCCAGATTTTCAGGACACCTAACACAAATAATGAAATAAATTATCCATTGGAGCCACTGTTTTTGATAATGATCATCCAGTTGATATCGAAATAAACTCTGGCCTCATTGCTGAAGAAAGCTCCACAGCTTCAAGATAAGACAACTGGCTGTTCCAAATACAGTGGTGTAAAGAATCAGAAACATTTTCTTCAGTCTATATCAAACTTTTGTTCAATTTAAGTCTGTCATAGCACAAACAGCTCATCCAGCTGCAAACTATGACAAAAAACCCATAGCTAAATTGAGACTACCCAACTGTGCCTGAGCAACCCATCCCTGTCAGAGGAACTCCGAAGAAGGCTCTGCTCTCCAGTGCTCAAGCTGAGACCAAGGCTCCTGTCACACACAGAACACACATCCCAGTAACAGCAGCAACACAGGCCTAAAGCACCGTCTTTGCTCAGCCTCTAAATGGGACAAGGACATGGCACAACGCTCACCTTTGCTGCCAGCTGTGAGGAAGTGCAAGCCTTGGTTCTTCACACCCAGCTGAGAGAAGTTTCCATTTTCAGGTAAGAGAACAGCAGCTTCCACACTCTGCAAGAGAGTTGGCCAAGCACTGGCTGAGACTGGAGGCACTGGAGTCCTGTTTCCACAGGCACCCCACTCCACTGCCCCCCAGCCAGGCAGGCAGACAACACAAGAATAGAGTTTTCTCATGACTCTCCTTGCTTCTCTCTGGCACTGGGAAAACAAAGCCAGGGTCAACATGTTCTCATGCTCCCCAGAAATGACTCCGCTAAGCAAGGAGAGAATGAAAATAAACAGCTTTGGAGCAGAGTTTAACAACCTCTGTAAAGTATAAAGGAAACAAAGCCCGAGCTTGCAATGTCTTTCTCTCTTTAAGAGAAAGCAGCATCACAGGAATAGCAACCTAGAAGCAACAAAGGATCTCAAAGCAATAAGTGAAACGTGAGTTCACCTCATAGACAGGGATGGTTCGTTTGCTTTCTCCTGTTTTCAGGTTCCACACCATGCAGATTTTATCACGGCCAGAACTGGAAGTTAAAAGAGAGTTTCAATGTCAAAGCCATTCAACTCACACTCAATTCTGAAACAAGTTCAACAGCAGCCTTCCACACAGTGGCAGACTATTGTCACCAAGCACAGGCACTGAAAGCCTTGATTGCTTCTACACTGACCGGCTGGCAGGGTGCAGCTTCAGCGAGGATCTGTCCCCTCAACAGACAGCCTTCCCAGACATCACTCAAGTACCCAGTTTTGGGTAGGAGGCAGGGTGAGAGGGACAAAAAGGCTAATCCTCTAAAAGTTTTTACCTGATGAGTGTATCTTTATCCGCAGCAAAAGCCAGGGAGGTGACAGCACTGAAATGGCCACTCAACACAGCAACACACTTGCTGGATTTCAGATCCCAGATTCGGATTTTGTAGTCCATTGAGGAGGAGAAGAGTTGCAGGCGTGAAATATCAGGGTGGAACTCAACCAGGCTAGACAGAGAGAAATGGAATTGAACAAGGCAGGACTACGTTGGGACATCCCCACAGCATCAGTATGCAAACATATATTCCACACAGAAGCATCACACTAACACCAGAGGAACAGAAATGACTGAAAACTATGACTTGTTCTTACTGTACAACTCCTGAAGAACCTTTTAGGTTGTGAGTGCAGTACTGCTTGATCATATCCCAGATCTTAATGGTGCTGTCACAGCCACCTTGGAAAAGAAGGACATAAAAGAATGAACTATGGAGAAGAGATGGAGGTCCAGTACATCAACAACTGTAGAAATTCACAGGTTACAAAAGCAGCAAAGAGTAAAATGAAATTCGTAACAACCATCAACAGCAAGGGGAGCTCACAGACTACTTTACACTTACCAACATTTAATGAATATACTTTAGGTAGAATATTAGAACATTGTTAGGTGAGAGGTCTTGATAGGCCATACAGGCAAAATCTCTCTGATATTGTCTGCATTTAAGAGATTGCTAAATCACACCATATCAAACTGGGCTAAACTATTCACATTATGCAAAAGCCTGGGCACTCCCGTGACGTGGCAAGAAGCAGGGCTGTACCTGTGGCCAGCAGCGTTGAGGTGGAGTCGAAGGCCATGGCAGCGACGGGCGCCACGTGCACCGCCTTCCACGTGCGGACACACTTGTTCTCTCGCCAGTCCCACTGCTTCAGCAGCAGCGCTCGGCTCCCCGTCACCAGGATCTACCCAAAACAGCACAAAGGAAGATTGCCTGTCGAGCGGGGTTTGTGCAGCACATCTGTACGTATGTGGATACATGAATGGAGCCACAAGTAAATGTAAATGAAGTATCAGCTAACAGAGGCTTTGCAGGCATATACAAAATTGATCAAATGGCGCTTTTGTCTCTGGAACTGTTTCCTACCTGCAGTTGTAAGTAAATAAAAAACATAATAAGGATCTTTCCTGTATCTGAGTTCAACCCAGACTAGAAGCCAGATGGAGGCACGGGACACTCTGTGCTGAGACCTCTAGGAACAGACAGTGTCTCCAGGCAGACTCCAGGACTCAGCAGCTTCACCAGGAGGCCCAACAAAGCAGTAGAGAACAACACAAGAACCTACCTCGTCATCAGGGCTGAGAACAAAGGAAGTAATATCTTCTTGATCGTCCTGTTGATAGGAAGGAAAAGATAAATCAAACCCCCGTGCAACGCTGCTGAGGGCTCTCAGATCATGTTTCTACAGGCTTCCTTTGAGCACAGTCCAACAGCCCTCCCGATGGGCTTACCATTAACTCTCTGAATTCACATGCATTTCTCAGCCTCCCACCTAATTCTCACTCTTTAGGGTTCCAAAAGAGCTGACAACTGCAGTAAAACACCCTTGGAGATTTCAAAAATATCCGGCAGTTTCGAAAGTCACCGGACACGGGCTCTCCTCACCTGCTCGAGGCTGTGCAGCAGAGCTCCCGTTTCTATATCTATTACATTCAACTTGATCCCGCAGGGGCAAAACATGAACTTTCCATCTCGATTAACCTGAAGGGAGAAGGAAAATCAGAAGCAATTACAGCACCAGAGGAACAAGGTGTTTTAAAACAACTATGCCTCAACTTTGGCTTTTTTCCCCCTCGATATCGGGAGGGAAGTTGATCCTCCTACCTGGACTGGCCCTCCTTTGTAGAAAGGCTCGATCCTCCGTGACACGGCGTAGCTGGAAGAGAAACGGGAAACGGGCGGCGGCAGCTCAGAGGCGGCTCCGCTCCCGCGGCCCCGCGCGGGCCCCCGGGGACCCGCGGCCTCCCCGGAGGCCCCGTCCTCCCCCCCCCGCCGCCCCCGGGGACCCGCGGCC